ACCTGAAATATTCACTATAAGTTTTTCAAGATTCTACTATATATACTCTTTAAATTTCAGTCAGATTAGTTATGTATTGTGAACGTGTATAGTTGACAAACATACATACACTGACTTTTATATATATATAGGGATGTTGCCAATGTGTATTTCAGCCACAACAATGGCCAAACAGTTGGTAATAATTCCTGTAGAAGGGCAGCTTGCGCCCGAAAGCTCAAATTGATTTTTCAAATAAAGAAACTTATCCTTTTTGAATCTATTCGTTATTATAGTTGGTAACAATGTTGCTACATGTGGCTTGCTCAATCTGTTGGAATAAACTAATCGTTGATTTTTAATTATTTAAGAATTGGCTAATTTTTTTTTTTTTTTACTTATCCCTAGTACACGTGGTACAGGCCATGATAATCATGGTGGGTAGTTAGCGACTGCTTTTTACTGTAAGCGCACCACATGTCTACGCATGTGAAAGCAGTTCGACTTTGCACTTACAAATGTGCCAGAGCCCCGTTTGGTTACTTGCACTCGCTGGTGGGGTTGGACTTTTGCAAGAATCGGGGGGCCATTGGAGCATTTTTTTTTAAACAGAAAAAAGTGTCCAATGCGGGGATCGAACCCGGGTCGTAGTGGTCGTAAACCAAACGGTTTAACCAACCTTATAGATAATGGACCAAATTGTCTTAGATGCCAGCATTGCAGAAGTAGCTATTGAAAGGGTCGCTGTTCCAAAATCCTGTGATATCCTCGCAGAAAAATAGCCCTAGAATCCTTTGATGGGCTATAAATATTTTAATTTTCAAAGGGAGGTTTGATAGTAAGTAGTCCTCTGCCATAAAGGAGCTACTTAGAGATTGGTAGTGAATAAAATGAGTTGAGTTTTGTATCTTAGCTCGGTCAAATTGGAGTAGCTGGTCCAACTTTGAACTATTCTAGGCATTTCTCCTCGCACAACCATATAATCTTCACAGTTCTTAAGAAAAGAAAAACCCCTAGAGTCAATGATGTTATTCAGGTTATAAATAAAGTTGTTTCTCGCTTTTCCCACAATTGTAACTTTCCAAAGCTGGGGCAAGCAAACATAAGGTAATCTTGTCCTGTCCATTTTAAAATCCGTATCCAGAACTTTAGAATCAATTTCGTAATGTTTAATTCAAGGGACATCCTTCCGGTTTCTGTTCGTAAGATGTAGCCCGGAGTAAATTTGGGAAGGTCAAGAAATCGCCGTAGGAAAATATCCTGGATCTGGTTTACAACTCCTATCTGATTCGTCGCCCACAGTGGGCCCATGTATAACAACGTGGATAAAACTATGGAGTCAAGTAGTTTCATCACTGCTCCAAACGATTTGGTTCTTGACATGGATAGTATTCTCCATACTGCGTTTGTAGCAACCAATTATTTGCTTTTAAAGTGCTGCGCCATGTAAGCAGTTGTTGGTTGTTAAGGGGAAGCCAAAATAGGTATATTTTGAGGATACTGTCAAGGGTTTATTTATTTGAATTTGGTCTTATTACCTTTTATTTCTAATCAATAATCCAAATTGTACCTTATCATATACAGTGGTGTGTGATTATCATGTAGTATAGTGATCTCCGAGGTCGGCCATCTTGGAACACCATTTCACCTTGTTCTGAGGAATTCTCTTCATCTTTTTTGTATCCTTAACTCCAGTACACGTGGCCACAATAATCCTAGTGTAGTGGGGCTTGTACAACATTGTATCCAAATGGTATCTGTATATAAACCTTATCTAAGCTTTGTACATTTATGAAAACGGTCATTTTCCAAAATTATTTTTTTTTTATTATTATCCCTAGTACACATGGAACAGGCCATGGTAATCATAGTGGGAAGTAGTTGGTGACTGCTTTTACTATAAGTACTCACAATGTCTAAGCATCTGGGAAGCAGTTCAACTTTTGTACTTACAAATGTACAAGAGCCCCATTTGGTTACTTTGCACTCACTGGGGGGGACTTTTGCAAGATTTGGGGACCATTTGGAGAAATTTTTATTCAGGAAAAAAATGCCCAATGCGGGATTGGATCCCAGGTTGTGGCTACCATTCGACCACTGACCTTCTATCCAAAAGGCTTAAAAGCCTAGAATAAAATAATTTGGAAATGTTTGTTTTTACAAGTTTCATACTTGACTTTCGCACTTTCAAGGAGCCAGATTCCCATTTGGTTACTTGAACTGGCTGGTGGAATTGTACAAGAGATGTGGGGAGGGTTTATTCAAACAATTTATTGATTTCAAAACACAGCTCCAATGTAAATTTTGAATCTAGTTTCAGCCCGACCTAGTGTATATATGAAAAACATTATCACAAATGGTTAGCCACACATATTGCTAGTGTGATAAAATTGAAAGGAAAAGTTTTTAATAAGACATTAAAAGGAGACATGACTTGCCAAAAACTTGTGTTACTAATTTGAAGGAAACCTATTTATATTAATAACTAGCCGAATGACCCGGGCAACGCCCAGATTTTACCCGATTAAATGTTTTTATTCAAATACTATTCATTACAATTATAAATTGGCGCCATGGATGTCACTCTTGTGAAACGTCCCGCTCCAAAATTTGTGTCTAAGAAGCGATATTTTTATAGAGAGATGATCTGGCTTTATGTCTTTTGCTTGAATGAATGTTTTTCTGTTAGAATTTTGTTCTTGCATACTAAAAATCAACTGGCTTCACCCGTGGTCTCTGCTTTTTGGAATTTTTCCCGATATAACTTTGTATCTGATAATCAAACATGATAACAACAATATTGTCATCATCAACTATTTTTGCCCAGAACCTGTCAATTTAAAATTTTCCTGGCTAAAAACTGATAAGTATACTTCCAGATTTTTCCCTAATGTCCTGTTAAAACATGTTTTACATGTACATTAGGTCAGCTGATATTACCTCCCTTCTTCACCGCTAGAGGCGCTGTTTGCGAGCGAAAAGGCAAATTTGCAATGCAATTTGCAAATAAATCGAAAATATATTCGGGGTAGAGACCTGAAATATTCACTATAAGTTTTTTGAGATTCTACTATATATACTCTTAAAATTTCAGTCAGATTAGTTACGTATTGTGAACGTGTATAGTCGACAAACATACAAACGTACATACCTACACTGACTTTTATATATATAGGGATGTTGCCAAGGGATGTGGCCACAACAATGGCCAAACAGTTGGTAACAATGTTGCTACATGTGGCTTGCTCAATCTGTTGGAATAAACATAAACTAATTGTTGATTTTTAATTATTTAAGAATTGGCTAATATGCTTTTGGCTCCCATCATTGTGGTGCAAGCTATACCTCAATGACCAAAAATAGCTGGTCTTTGGGGCATCCTGAAAATCATGAAATTTAAGGTCGGAAGGAAGTGAGAATGCCAAACTATGTGAAAAAAAATAATACAAAAGTGAAATTGTACTGGGATCAGATGTATAAAGGCATTTCCTGGTTGTGCAACTAAAAGTTGTTCCCCATCTGTCAGAATAAATATCAATTTATAAATTCTGGAATTCTATATACAGTTACGAGCGTCATCAATTCTTTTTCATCTCTGTCACCGTTTGCTTTTTTTTTGGAATGGCGCACTCCTATTGGTTGGCTACGATCACGCCACCTTTGCCCCCCCCCCATCATGTCCCCCCACTCGCTTTGTTGTTTTTGTAACTATTGTGTTGGAGCGGGTCGCTCCTTAAATAATCTATTGTTAACAATACCTCATTATAAGTATTTGAATAAAAACATTCAATCGGGTAAAACACTGGCGCAGGTCCACGTGTCTAAATTAAAACACGGGCGTTGCCCGGGTCATTCGGCTAGTAATTAAAAATCAACGACTTGTTGATGTTTTTTTTATATTTATTTTGACAGATGGTGTACTCTCAGTATGATCAGTACTTTTAGTTGCACAATCAGAAAATGCATTGCTCTTAATTTATCCACTTGATCCCATTAAAATTCCACACTTTTGTATTATTTTTTCACAATAAAACCTTTAAAAGTCACCTAGAAGAAAATAAGACCTAATCCAAATAATTTAATAGTGTGTGATGTTTCGACAACAGCATTGTTACCATCATCAGACAAAGGAATAAAATAATGATTTTCATTATTATTATAATAAATAATCATTATTTTATTCCTTTGTCTGATGATGGTAACAATGCTGTTGCCGAAACGTCACACACTATTAAATTATTTGGATTAGGTCTTATTTCCTTGTATCTATACTGTATCTATATGCATAATTTTAATATTATGCATATTAAAAGCTACCTCTTTTGGTGCCTGAATAGTATCCTCCCACAACTTCATGTTGTGATACAGAATATGTAAATAGAAGTCTAATATATGAGGAAATTATTCCTTTGAAAATCATGCAATTCTCTCTCTCACCATGCTGACGAGAGCCAACAGCCCGAAACAGGTTCATGGATGGCTTTTCTTGATTTATCAAGAAAATGGGTTGGCCAAATATCAGGGAACAGGTTAAATCAACGTTTAGTTGATTTCTGTTTCGCTAGATGGCGCTCCAATAATCCAAATTGTGCTTTATAATAAAATTCACCTGTTTTCAAAGTTTTCCTGTTTTAGAAGTTTATTTTTAGTGTAACAACACTTTATTTCTCTTAGTTCTGAAGATCATTTCTTGGTTAGAAGTTGGTTCAGAACAAATACATCAACCCATTTATTCTTTTACTCTCCTCAGGGGAATGACAACAAGTCACTGAAACATCGGGAGTTAAATAAATCATTGGTTGATGTGGCTATATTTTTCACATTGGTCTCACATAATTCTGGCCTTAATTACCTGTTTCATGATTTTTCAGGATGCCTGAATGAACAGTTTTTTTGTCATTGAGGTACAGCTTGCAACACGCTGATGAGGGCCAATAGCCCGAAACATGGTTAGCTTTTCTTGATTAATCAAGAATGGGTATTTGGTCAATTCTTGAATAATTAAAAATCAACGAGAATAGTTGATATTTATTCCGATAGATGTGCAAGCCATCAGCAACTTTCAGTTGCATGATAAGGAAATGCCTTTTATCTTTTTCATATTTCTCTTAAGTTTTTTTAGGCGTCTGAACCTGCCTAATTCCTTTATTTCTAAATTGTTTAAGCCCTAAAGAGAAATTATGTTGAACATCCTATATTAAGAGTGTCACTGAATTTGCCTAAGAACAATTTTAGGTTTATTGTAATCAATTTAATTCAACCTTTCTTATAAATCAACCTATCTTGAGGATTCATTTTTAGCCAAACTCTGGAAACAGGTTTTGCTGAATTGGATCTTTTTGTTTCCTTGTATTTGTGATCCAACTTGTTCCTTTCTCCAGAATGAAAAGTTTTGTTCCAATCCTCAGG